TGATCATCATACATATATGTAACAAATTTATATATTGTAAATATGTATTATATATACAGTTTTAATATATGAGTATGTACATATATGTCTATAAAATCCTCTAACAGAGTTCTCAGTACCTATTTTTTCACTTAGATATTCAAAAGCTGGCAAGAAATTATGCCTAACACAATTAGATTTAGCCTTTTACAGATGCTTTCTGGATGCACTGTTGGGGTCTGCACAATGGTCAGAAACTACCAGTCTGGTGCCAGGAATCCTCCATCTCCTAAATCTATAATTTTTCATTTGGCTCCAGTTTCTCTTCTGCCTGGGTTCCCATCAGTTCTGTCTCTGCATTCTTTTGTTAGCAGAAGTAAATAGGGGAAAAAAAAGAGTAGAGGAAATTTAACTCAGTTCTTGGTTGTATGCTCCTACTTCTGCAATCCTAATCCACTGGGCTGCCTGCACCATTAGCTAGAGATATAGCAGTAATGTCAAGAGAGGGAAAGCACTTCTGTTTGGTATTTCAAGTCAGGCAGTGAGAGAGCTGGACAGCTTAGATGCAGGTAACTCCTTTTTACCGTATCACACTTCAGATTCACCACAGCCTTAAAGCAAAACAAGCCATATTTTCTGGAATCCCCCCCCAGGCCAGCATCATACTTCAGTGGGCTTATTCTTGCTGCCACATGTATTATCTCAGACATAAGACTTTCTTTTCTTTTTAACAGGTTTCTCTACAGACTAATTTTTATCCAACACTTATTTTCCCTGAAGGGCTAGAACTTTACCTAATACACTGACATACAATCAGCATAACCACTGCAAGCAGAACTCTGCCAACACCACTTTAAAACACATTGTGCAAAATCATGATGTGGTGGAAAAAAAAAATTCCTTTACAACTCAGATCACATTCTCCAAATAGCCATGTTAATAGCATGATTTGTGAATAAGGGTATAGATTTATCAAGCAGTTTTAAGGAACCACGTTAACAGAAAAAGCTTAAAGGATTAGTGGTGGCCTTATATTTATAATTGTGATTTTTTTCTGTGAAGAGTTCTAATGTGTTTTTTCATCTTATTTTTGCAAACCCTCCTGTATTACTCATTCCAGTATTTAAGCAGAAATGAACACTTCCTTACATAATCTTAACTATACTTCTCTTCTGCTAATAATATCTTAAATTCAACACGTTACAAATATTTGAAAGGCATCAATCATATTTGCCAAAATAATTTATCAAGACCAAAATATCTAACACAAGTGTTAGTCACTTTTTCTACAGAATCTTGTGTGCTGCAAGAAACAGATTGTACTTATCATATCATCAAAAATTTACTGTCAGTTTATAAATACGTTAAGCAGGAGTATTTCTCATGTAAGGAAACATTCTGAGTTCAAAACCCAAGAAAATTAAAAGGGAACTCTAATAAATTACAGCACAGCAGTCTCCCCTTTCAGAAGTCTGAAGACCAAATACCAGCTATTGCCCAATGTCTTCCTTAGTACTTTAGATACTCAGCTTTCCTATCACCTTTTACACATATAGACTTAGGTCACAGCACACATACAATAAGACAACTTATAGAAAAATGTACTAATCAAACTTTATCTCGTAACAACAAAATCTCAAAATACAGCTAGCCATTAACATTTAGGGTAGAAGAGATTTGCATGAGAAAGGCCTCATCCTGAGATCTTGGTAGAATGACCTAAAATACATAAATACATAAAATACATCACCTCCAACTGCCTTCCTGCTATGAAGCCTCTTACTGCTCTTTCTTCCCTAACTTTTCAGACATTCAATCTCGTTCAGCCTCCCAGGCTACCTGAATCTTAGTAAGGTTCTCACCACTGCAACGCAACACCTGTTCTTTCTTTCCTTGCACTGTTACCAATCACCATGTCTCCCTATGTTACTTCAAAGCACTGCCCCCAGAATCATCTTCTAATTCAACCTTCACTGGCCTCCTTATTCTCCTCCAAGTTCTCAGATTTAATCTGTTAGTCCCTCCAATATTTAGCCTTACTGTATCCATCAGATCTAGTTTTTAGCCATATGTTCACCTTTGTTAATGACTATAGCCACGGCTTATCCCTCCTCAAAAGGTAACTTTCTACCGTAGTGTGGATAGTAAACACCTGAGAGGTAGATACAAGACCAACTGCGATGACTGCTCCTGACTGACCAGGAACCAGCTTGGCACTCTTTCCCTCACCAGCTGCCACCCTCCAGTTGTACCTTGGTTTTCAGATGATTAAAATTTCCATTAGGCCTTAGAGCGATTTGCATAACAAGGCCCCAGATTCACTGTCCTTTTGATGCTACTACAGCTGTGTAAATCTTAAGTAATGACAGGGCATATGAGGTAGTTTCTGGAACATACGTCCCAGTGCTGCTGAAGTAGCCTCTAGGAGCAGAAGATGGTGTGAGAAGTTAATAGTTGAGATGAGACGTATAAACCCCTGTCATGAGGATGTAACAGAAGCACAGCTAGATGTGACCCCAGTTTATAAGATGGTACCATGTTTGAGACCATGTAAACAAAATGCCTGGTAAATAATGGGAAAAAAAACTTTATACTCATGTGCATATACATGTATATCTGCATTCCTATTTAGTTAATATTTTATGCACAGTTATGTCTGACTCAACACTTTTCTTCATACTGTTTGTATCTTAATGTGCACCAGAATAAATCAGCTTCAGTTCCAGAAGTTCTATTAGTTTTATCTCCCAGCATTTTCTAAAAGTGGCTCCTGGTGGGTCATATAAAATAAAAGCAGCTTTTTACAGGAACAACAGATTTATAACTTTAATAAGACTGGCCTCCTTCCTGCTTTAAAGTCTACAGTAGACAACAAATCAGATTAAGCAAGCTGGTATCAAATCTGAAGCCAAATGCATTTTTGAGCCAAACCTTAATTTTCTGAAGCAGTTCAAGCTTATTTTGAAGATGTTAAATTATTGATAAAGAAAATCAACTCTTTTTCCAGCTCAAGCAATGTCATATACAGCATATGCAAAAATAGCTAAGGTAGATTTGCTGTTTTATTAACTTCACAACCCTTTAGAATTAAATTACCTACTTATTCCTGTTTAGAATACAGATAAACAGTCACTACCAACAGCTTAACAACTTTTAACTTCAGATAAAATGTTTGTCTGAAGGCAGACTGTCAGAAACAGACAAAAAACCATGAGACACCTGCAGACTCCTAAGTTTATTTATTAAACTAGTATTATTTCACCAATATCATTAAACTTAGACACTTCAGCAAATAAACTTTAATGCATTCTGTTCTGACAATAAACAGTTTTCTCAAAGGAGCTGAAATAATAAAACATATTCCATCCAAAGAGGCAACTGAAGAACAGCAAACAATCCTGGGAGAAAGTAGGCAGGATGGCAAGAACAGTTCTTTGTGCACAGTGATCTCCCCTAAACAAAAAATGGATGAGTATCTACATATATCGTTTTGCTTAGACTTGCTCCATAGCATATCAACTATTTTCAGTCCCTGTGATTTTGTTCAGCACCTATCTCCTAGCATTTCCAGAGAGAAATCTTAGGCAAAACAATGGATATTATGATGTAACCTTTCTTAAAAGTATCCCAACCATTGTAGTACAAGATACATAAAAGAAGGAAATAAAATTACATTAACAATCTTTCCTGTTCTAGAGTAGAACAGGAATTACACAGAATTGAGTAAGCAATTATTTACAAAGAAGCAACACCCGCCCTCACATATATAAATATATATATATATATATATAAATCAAAAGTACCATAACTATCCTTTTTAGGATATCATAAGGTGACTTAATGGTATCATATGGTGACTTAATGGAGAATTCTCTTGAGCTTTCCTGTTGACGATGTCCAGTTTAGTATAAAATATACAACTATCTGACAGAGGAAAAACTCACTCTCCAGATTAGTTAATCACTATGGTTCTCTCAGCAGACACCTTGGACCGTATACCCCATTGTGCTATTATACACAGTAAAACAGCCTGAACAAATAAAAGTGAATAGCTGTGTGCACACAAACAGAAATATCTTTTGCCCCCTGAATATCCTACCAGTTAGGACACCCTCCAAGACTTCTCTGCCAAATGCAAAAAGTCCATTCCCAGTTCTCTGATGAGTGTCCCCAGAACTCAGAAAAAGCAGGTTTTTTTCTGTAAGCGATGACAGCCAGCAATGCTGCAACTTCCAAAACGTTCCCAAATGAAACCACTGAGCGAAAAAAATGCAGTTGCAAATAACTACTAAACAAGTAAATGCATATTTTTATGAATAAAGAGTCTTTTAAAAAATACCTATTCAGTTCTAATATGAAATCCATAATAACGGTAAGTTACAAACCCCTGCTTTCAAGTCAGCCACTATTCGAATGTGAGATAGCACATATCCAGACTGGAAAACTATTTAAAAAAAACATACAAAATAGCCCCTCAAAATAGAGTGGAATTAATCCATTTTGTTGTAAATAACTTTATAAGCTCTGATGTGCACGTTACTGTTTCTGATCTAATTAAACCAGAAATCTGCCGTGGAAGCAAGCTCACCTAAGCGCTCCAGAAAGAGCTCATACGCCTGGGCAAAACACAGCCATTTGCAGAAGGCAAATAACAGATGTTATTTTTCCTTCTCCTTCTTACTTAACCACTTATTGCACACGCCGCCTCTCTGCCCGGCGGCTCCCCGGCCCCGGGCGGGTGAGGGGGCAGCGGGGGCAGCAGCACCCACCCCTTGCCGGGCTCTCAGCCCTCAGAAGGTCACCGCCGCCGTGCCGGGGGCACACGGCACCACACGCCTCCCTGCCCGGGGATCGGAAGGCTCCCGGGGCCGCGGCCCTGCCCACCGACCACAGGCCCCCCACGCCCCCGCCGGGCCCTCCCGTGTCCCCCGAGCGGCCGCGCCCGCAGGACCCGCCCCGGCCCGGGCTCGGCTTCGGCACGCGCACTGCGCAGGCGCGGGGCCGCCTCTTTCGTCCGCGCGTACGCGGGCGGAAAGCGCACCGAGCGTTGCCCTTCTGCGGCGGGATCGCGGGAGATCCGTGCGGTATCCGCGCATCCCACACCTTCCCGCGGGGAAGGGATGGCGGGGGCGGGCGCGGCGCTGGCCGTGGGGCTGCTAGTGAGGCTGGCGCTGGTGCTATACGGGCTGCACCAGGACCGCGCCATGCGAGTGCGCTACACCGACGTCGACTACCGGGTGTTCACGGACGCGGCGCGGCTGGTGAGCGAGGGGCGCTCGCCCTACGGGCGGGCCACCTACCGCTACACGCCGCTCCTCGCCTGGCTCCTGACGCCCAACGTGTTCCTCGCCGAGCCTTTCGGGAAGCTGCTCTTCGTGGCGGGGGACCTGGCGGCCGCCGCCGTCGCCTACCGGGCCCTGCGGCGCCGAGGGACCGCGGCCGGGCGCGCCTGCGGGTGCTGCGCCGCTGCCTGGCTCCTCAACCCGCTGCCCATGGCCGTGTCCAGCCGGGGCAACGCCGAGGCGCTGGTGGCGCTGCTGGTGCTCGCCACGCTGTACTGGGTGGAGGCGGGCAGCGTGGGCAAGGCCGCGGTGTGCTACGGGCTGGCCGTGCACATGAAAATCTACCCCCTCACCTACGCGCTGCCCATCGCGCTCTATCTGCGGAGCGAGGACGGGGCAGTGGATGCGGGGGGTGAAAGAAAGGCAAGGTCTACGTTTGTGGTGCACATCTGGCAGCTGTTTGTAAAGATGCTGAACTGCGATGTGCTGCTTTTTGCGACGGTTGCCGGATCAGTGCTGGCTGCCTTGACACTGGCGTTTTATCACCTCTATGGCTGGGAGTTTTTGGAGCATGCCTACCTTTACCACGTGACCAGGAGGGATATCCGTCATAATTTCTCTCCCTATTTCTACATGTTGTACTTGACAGCAGAGAGCAAATGGAGTTTTGCCCTGGGGCTTGCAGCTTTCCTGCCCCAGCTGCTTTTGCTCCTGGTCGTGTCCATAGCGTTCTACAGAGACCTTGCCTTCTGTTGTTTCCTACACACCGCTATTTTTGTGAGTTTTAACAAAGTATGCACATCCCAGTACTTTGTCTGGTATCTCTGCCTTTTGCCCCTCATAATGCCTAGTATTAAGATGTCTTGGCGTCGTGGTGTGCTGCTTCTCTTGCTATGGTTTGTTGGACAAGGCCTGTGGCTTGCTCCTGCATACTTTCTGGAGTTCAAAGGATATAACACTTTTTTATTTATATGGTTGGCAGGCTTGCTTTTCCTTTTTATTAATAGCCTCATAATTGTTCAGATTATTTCACATTATCAAAAAGAAGCACAAGTTACGAAAAAACTCAAACAATGCTAATAAACAAACCAAAATCCAGAAATAGCCCTTCTGTCCTTGACAAATCATTACATACCACTAGCACTTTGTTTAACTAAATATGTGTGCCTTTGTAGTGGTTTGAACCAGGTTTTCTCCCTGAAACTAAGAAAGTGGTAACCCCCAGGGGGTGGTGACCCTTGGGGCTTGACCAATCAATGCTCCTGCAAAATATAAACATATCTCTGGAGACCGGAAAAGAAGCAGTGGTACTTTTTGTGGGAAGAAGAGGTGGCCATGTTGTAGAGGCCACGAGGAGAAGGGGCTCCGGCCCCTTAGGGGGCTTTGCCCCCCCCCAGCCCCCGGTTGGGGGGCTGCAGGGACTCAGAATGGTGTTGAAGCTGGGCTGAGTGCCTGCGGCTAGGAACTGGGGGAGTTTTCTCCCCTGTAAGTAGAAGTGGGAGACGCTGGGAGCAGCGACGGAGCAGCAGCGGAGACAGCAGCGTCCGAAGAGCAGTGGCAAAGAGCCAACTGATAAGGACCAAAAGGAGCAACACAAGCCGGTATGCAGCTAAGGCAGACACAGAGGTGTCTGAGGAGAAGGAAAAGCAGCAACAAGACAAGAGACCCGAGCCAGCAGCAGGAAGAGAGTTTCGGAGGGTAAGAACTGGCTCAAACCAAAACCCCCAAACTCGATAGAGACCCCTCTGAGAAAGAGGAGGAGGTGGTGGACTGAGTGGAGTCCTAAAGTGCAGTATGCACTACAGAGAGGAGCTAAGAAGCTCCGGCCTCCTGAGAGCTCAGCCAGGATGGCCAAAGGAATGTGTGTGGAGGGGGTGACCTTGGGCTTTCCCCCCCCCTTTGCTGCAGCTTCAGAGAAGCTGGCAGCCATCTTTGAAGCAGAGCACAGAAGCTCTGTGAAGGGGCTTGATTTCCCCTGAAGATACCAGACTGTCACGAAGACCCCCGTGCTTCGTGATATGACCGTGGTGGAACGACCTTGTCTGAAGTTACGTAGTCCACGAAAAGACCCTTCGTTTGGCGTCGAGGGGCCGAGAGGAGCTTGGAGACCCCCCTCGTGTGTATTGGCAAAGATCCAACTGCTTCTACTACCTGAAAGAGAAGAAGAAAACCTGCTACCTAGAGAAAAACCTGTTACTCAGAAACTAGAAAGAATCTTTTCTTCTTCTTCTCTCCTAGACTTTTATTTAGAGAAAGAAGAAATTGGACCCATTGTAAATATTATTGTCATGGTAGAGATAAATATAGAGTTAAGATTGTATACAGTGTATTATAGTATTTATTTATGTGTATAGTCTTTGTAATATATTCCTTCCCCCATATTGAGTCTCGTGTTTTTTGTCTAGAAAACCCATCTCACATGGAGTTAAGATGTGGGTGGAGAGCTAGAAATAAGAATTAGATTTTGAGCCTTGCTAAAACCATGACAGCCTTGTACTAAAGCACACTGTATGTAAACATTACTATTTCAGGGCGATGAGGGCACTGATTGGCCTCAGTTGCCCTGAGCAGCCCCAGTCCTGCCCTGAGTAGTGTCTGCAGGTGTACCTGTTTGCCCTGTGGATCTTGAAACTGTGTTGCAACCTTCTTTCCAGCACTGTCTCCCAGCCCTGTGTCCTGCTGCTCCTGACTGGACTCCGTGGATGTATCCTGGACCAGTTCATCATTTTACTGTGTCTGAGACTGTGAGTGGACTCTGTTAACCCATCTCCCCTGGCTTGTTTTCACCAGCCATCTCCAAAGACAGTGTGACTGTGCCCCGGTCTGTGACAGTATGGCCTGTGCTGGGATCACCCTCAGTTCCTGTTCGTACTCCCTAATGGAGCAGCCCCAGCGCCCTTATTCTTACTCTCAGTGTTACTTTGCTTGTTGCGGACTGAGGCCTCTGTCTGGAATAAGACAAAAGATTATAAAGGAATATTGGAGTTTGACAGTTTTGTACATTCCACTAAGTCAGCGAGGTGTTTTGCAGGGGCTAATAATGAATGAATATAAGGCAATCACTTAATATGTACACTGGAATTTATTTTTTCTTTTGTTTTCACAGTTACATTTTAGCCATGCAATGTCTGTGGCCTGTACCTGGTCTTTATTTGGAGAAGTAGTAAAAAAGTGGTTATTTCATACAAGTCATTAACTCTTCGAGACTTTTATTTTAGAATTCAGATATGCCACCCTTTCACTTATTTTTGCATTTGCAGTGCTGTTTGAATTTTTGAATCGATTTGTTACCCTTGCCATGGAGGAAGATTTTTCCATATACCTCTCATGGAGCACAGAGATGTATAAACCAAAAATATTTGTTTCTTTTTGCCATGATCTAGAAAAGAGACCAGTGCCTTAAACTGTGGTTCATTGACAGTTACTGTGGATGTTAATAGTGGAAAATGCTAAGAGTCAAAGTACAGCTAGAATGGTACCAAAAGCAGTAGGGTTTATACCAAAACAGTAATTAGAAATGAGTTTCTCAGTAGTTCAGTATCTCTACTACTAAAAAATAAATGAAAAAGTGAAAGGAACTGAGGAAGTGGAGCAGTTGTCAGAAGAAAAGGAATGTTTTGAAATAGGAAGCTGTACAACCTGTCAAAACACGTTTATTCCCAGATGAAACATAAGATGTGGAATTAAGTGTTAGGTGGTAGTGAGAGTTCAGAGCCATTTCAGAGTCAATACCATCAAGAACATCCCACCGGAGGTCTGATGTACGCAGCATTTGACAGAGGTGGAAACTGGCAATGTATTTTTTAATAAACTAGTTTAAATAGGCATATGCCAAATACAGGAATGTTCATATTTGCCTCAGTGTTTAGTTACATCCTCAACTTTTAGTTAGTGAAACCCTTAGTGTGTAACGTGGAGCAGAGCTTCAAGGCAAAATAACTTCAACCCAGTGGTGTGAGTGGGAAAGGGTATGGCCGAGTGGATTTGCCTTCCAGGTTCATTTTGGCCACGCTGCCTCTCTGAATCCTGCTGTCTCTCGAGGCAGCCCTCTTCTCCAGGACTGGAGCAGCTCCTAGCTTTCTCATATATAGGGTTTTCTTTCCTGGTTGTAGTTCTGCCTTGTGAGGCAGAATTACAGTATTTTCACCTGTGAACTTTTCCCATTGCTTCCCAGCCCCATTGAGGTGGTTATGAGAAAGGAGAGGAACCCCCTAAGGCCCAACAGCCCAGAGCGTGTTATCAGGAGGTGATGAGTTCCTTATACCACTCTGGCCCAACTTGGCCATTCTGATGTATTAGGAGGAAGGATGATTTTCCTGCTCAGAGTGCTGGGGAGTGATTCTGCTCTCTTGCTGGAAAGCTTTCCCCTACCGTCTGCACTCACACTCACTTTTACATTGTGAAGATCCTGGCAGCCTCTTTGTAAATCCAGAAATTGGATGATGCAGTGGGTATTCGTTTGACCATCTTTGTTTTTTGGATAAGTCTTAACAGATGTGGCACTGATTGCCTTCCCCTGGGATGAAGGAAGAAAAATTTATAGCATTAACTTGTCTACATCTTCCACTAGAGGTTTATCACTCAAAAAACTGGTGGCATAAGCCACTTCCATATATAGTTTTATATTAATCAACAAAACATTTGTGTGTGCTATGAGTGTGTGAAGAGAAAGCATCCCATGTGCTTTGATTTTCCAAGGTGGAGTTGGACATGCCCAGTTAGCGACTCAGCAAAAGACTGAAGAGGCTCTTTTGTGCCGATACCTCTGTTCACCCCATTCTGATGTGCAGGGAATAGCTCATTTTCTTTTGCAACTATTCTGTTGCCTGTTACACATTTTTCTGTTGCAAAAAGCAGATTTTTCTTCCCCAAAGCAATGTTTTGTTTCTCTTTAACAGACTTACTTATGCTATTTCCACACATTTCTACACCCCTATTTTTTCCTTCCTTTTGGCAACGAAAGCAAATGCAAGCCAAAAGGCATTTCTAACTGCAAAAGACGGCATCTTAAGTCACTGTGTTCATAACTGAATTGTAATGGTTTTTAGGTAAGAAGTAATTTCCTTATGACAAACACATTCTTGATTCATTAATAGCCAAATCAGTTTGAGGCCCTCAGAAGGCAAATTCTGCAGCAATGGGAACTGAAGGTAACCTTCCCTTTGCAGGTCAGTACCTGCCCTGCAGCAATGACTCGAGAAAGCCATGCATAAACAAGTTATAAAAAGGCTTTTATACAAACCTAGATTTACAGTCATCATTTTAATAATCCAGCATGAGTCCCTCTTTTTACAGTTGTTTTCTAAATTACCTGAAAATGTTTGGTATTTAGAAATAATTCAAGTGACTCATAAAAAGCTGGATAAGAGAATAAACTGAAAGAGACAAATAAGAAGAGGTATTTGATAGTTTGCATCTTGCAAATTGCTTTAGATAGTTAAAAGGAATTGAATAACTTTATTCATTGGAAAAAAACATTAAATCAAAATAATTGTAGTCAAGTACGAAAAAAATATAATTCTCGAACAAGTCTTGGTGATTAATTATAATTCCCTTAAAATTTACCAAATTCATTTTTTATGGAACATTTATTGCTTTTGATGATGCTTCTTTTGCTTAATAATTTTATGTCCATTTATCTTCTGGTAATTGAACTGAAGTGTCTGAATGCTAGTGTTCATTTCCTACCACGGGTTGCAAAATTGTAATGCTGACTTTTTTTTTTTTTTAAAAGAAGGTTGAAGTTCCCAGTGAAATGTGTCTTACTTGCACAAGTTTTTCGCGTTGCACTGAAACAGCCCTGAAGTGCAAAGTACAAGATGCGAAAGAGGAAGTGAAAAGAAGAATCAAGAAAAGTGACATTTTTGCCTTTCTTTTTTGGTGTAGCCTGTAGTCCAAAGGCTCATGACTGGATGTGCAGGTGACTTCAGACACAGCTTCAGCATTTAGCAATGATTTGATTTAAAATTTATAAATGCAATTACTCAAATAACAGGGCAAATAAAAATATAATAATAAATATTTCATTCAGTTTTAGTGTGAGCATACACTATCTATGACACAATGTACTTTGTCCTTATTAAGTAACTGCCCTGTATGTGTGTTACTTGCATTGTATTGACTCCTGAAATAGTACAGGCAGCAATTATGTGCTCTAAGCTGAGCTCATCAGTTATCATTTTCAAAGGCACTATGAAGCTTTTATATTTAACAGCAAGGGGAAACTCCAACATTTCTCCCAAGGTTTTATAGAGAAAGCGGATGTTAAAAGATAGTAAATTATGAGCAAATGGTTCCCTTTTTCATCCAAGAAGAATGATGTATTTTAAAAGGGCTGCAGAAATACATAGTGAACACAGGAAACCTAAAAAGTGTATTCTTTGTATATTTGCCAAAGACAGCTGCAGAATGCATGTTGTACTGATAGCAGCATTATGAAATAGGATTACCCTGAATTTAGGACAAATCCTTTACTCAGACTGAAACCCAACCACTCATACAACCTTCTTGTTTAAGCATATGTTTATGTGCACCATACTCACACACCTAAACATTTACCTGCACATACAGAAGCAAAACGAAAAGTCCCAGTCAAGACACCTTTGAGTAACATGATTTTTCAGAGCTAGCCTCTATAAAACAGGTTTCTTAGATATTTCTTCTATTTAGCACTCAGAATCTCTACTGACTCTAAAACTTGAATTACATAAATTTTGATGTATATGAAAAGTAAAAGCATATGCTGTGGGGATCTTGAGTGTAATAGACACATTAAAGAACCAACTAATTATATATTTGAAGGTGCACATTCAAACAGTATCCTGATGTTCTTCATTATAACAATCAATACTAGTCACATTCATGTAGGAGACTTACTTCAGTCTTTATGCATGATGAATAAGGTAGAGACTTATGTTTTGTACTAGAAAAGTATCAGAAAGAAAAAATTCTCTTAATGAAGCAGTACCATTGTTTTGTTGTTTGGGTTTTTCAATTACATTTCTGTAAAGACATTAATAAATCGATGCAATAAATCCATGCAATTGTGGCATGCATTTTTAATACCTAGTATGTCTCTTTTTCATCAATCTGGTAAATACAAAGAAGACCAAAATTTGTCATTTTTTGATGGTGTAAGTCAATAGTGCTTTGAGCAAAATTCTTTGTGACTCTCCTTTCTGGTACCTGCTGAGACAGGTATGGGCTTCTGCAGGAACAAGATTGCTTATCAGGAAGCAATCTATCTTAATGTGTAGATAAAGCTTTATCTGCAGCCTCTTATTCTTAGAGCTTAACTTTAAGACTTTAATATTTCATAGCTTGCACATAAAGAAATTACACATAAGAGATCCTCCCTATTTTCCCATGGAAATTGATGGTGAAGCAAGCTAGAACATCTGTGGAAGAAACATCTAAAGGAAATGTCTGTATCTGATTATATACAAAGAACTTCAGCCTTGGAAATCAGCTGAAATGCAGGCAAATTGAGCAGTAAGCCCATACTGTGAAACCCCCATTATTTATATGAAGGGTATTTGATCAAATGTGCTTTCCCGTTTTACAGGAGGAAAATGGGATCTTGATAGCAATTGTCAGGCTGCATGAGTATAACTTTGCTCCTTTTACATTATCATAAGGGGGTCTATAGGGTCTTACAACCTACAGTAGCACTTATGGAATTGTCCAGGTGTCACTTGCATAAGCTATTAATAGACAATATTGTTGGTGTACCAAGAGATTATTAGTCAGCAGTTACTCTGAAAGTGCTTTTTGAAGGTTAACTCAACTAAAATCTGATTTCTGCTTCACAAGTCAGCAGCTGTGTTAATAGAGATGGTACTATTTTGACAGTAATTTTCCGAGGAGAGCTGCACTCTGTGGCCCATATGCTTCCACTCTGTGCAAAAGAACATTAATTCAAATCCCCTGGTGATCTGACAGCATTTTTTTAATCTATCCCATGTCCCTCCCACTGATGCAATAGATTGAATCAACCATAAAGCAGGCTTAGAAAATGAAGTGGAAAACAATGTATGATTATCCTTCCCCTATTTTCCACCCTGTATAGTGTGTATATGTTGAATAATTAAGATTACCTTTTGGAACACAGTCCCATTTGAGCTAGGTGTTTGTTAATACAAAGTATTTTACCCAAATGCACTTAAGGGAAAATTGACTGAGTGGGCTACATGGACTTTTGTCAAATGATAATAAAGCTGCTTCAATATTAGCACTATTCTACCCTATCATTCTGTTACATATATATGACAGGTTAACTAAAAATAGCAATACTTGTAAGTTCTAGTTTCAAGTTTTCCTTAACCAAAAAGTTTGGAGGACACATGTAGCTATAAACTGACTAAAAGAGAACGAGTGCTATATCACAGAGAATTAATAATTCATTAATAATTATATCTTTCCCACAGCTGACATCTTCCTGAAGAAAATAGCACTTTTTTTTTTTATACACAGTCTGGAAACTCACATGAATAACAAGTAGTTCACCTTAAAACTGTCAGATGTATTTGAAAATAGATTTTAATTACCATTAGCACTTCCAAGTTTAGTGCTGGCATCAGCCAGCTTGTTAATTCCAGCAGTACAGGAACTAAGTCATGACCAATTTTCTTTCATGCTCTAATAAACTGATTGATTAAGTATAAGAAAGTTTGTTGTCCAAAGTGAACCAAATGTTGTTTGTTCACTGGAAAGAAATACTGCGTGGCTAAGGCCAAAATTTACATAAGCAGAATGGAGAAAGTGATCAAGAAATAAGGGCAAAAAGTGAGGCTGCAGAGACCTTGACTACTGTCTTGCATTTGCCACTACTTTATCATTAATAAGTGATTGCAGCTTGCTGAGCTGTTTGCCTCTGCTGCTTGTGATGGCTTGATATAATAAATGACACCTTATTTGTGCCAAGATGTGTCTCCTAATCCATTCCTGTGACACACTGCCATGAAGTGATTGCAGTCTTGTTTGAAACAGTTATAAGTCTGATTGGCAGTAAACTGTAAACACTTAACTAAAGACATTTTGATTAAAAAATATTCAAAATACTTTTTTTTTGCATATATTTAAACTTTTTTGTGGGATACATTATGCTCTCATGTGCATTCCAGCATTGAATTTTTAGGAGAGGGTGAATTACTGCTGAAGCTAAATGAAGACCTGGAAGCAGATTAACAGAACTCATGGTAAAAAGCTAGACAATTAAGAAAAATCATTTAGAAAAATTATAGTTAGCTGATGCCACAATTAAATAAGATTTTATTATTAGTGGTCTGCTTAGATTGTATTGGAAATTCATATTGAAAATGTATTAGGGAGATGAAATAGTAGACAGCTCTGCAGCTGTTATAAATAGTTACTTCAAATGTGAGAAATAATGGCTGAAGAACTGTTTCTGTATATTCATAAAACAGGTATTATGATGTTATCCAAGGGGAAAGTTACTAGTTGCGCAGCACTATGAAGGCAAACTACAATTCTGCTTTTAGATACAGGTGAAACTGAATTATTTCACTTTGGTCTTTCTCCAAAGCTTTTGTTAAAAGATGCACAGAGTACCAAATTGTAATCTGGACCAGATGTGCTATGCCAGAAGCAGTTACAGGGAGCTTTACATTTGCGTCAGCCTTGTAAGCTTCCTGAACAAGTGCGTGCTCAGTGCTGGAAGCCGTAGGTGGTGGGAATGCACAGATGCAAACTTCCCTCCAGCATGCCCAGAAGTGACTTTTCCATGGTTCTTAAGGCACCCAGATGTTGCCTTAATCTATACTGTAGTAGCTCTATATATCTCTTCATAAATCTATACATATCTTAAAGATATATATATATGCTACATAATTATAAATATTTTCATCTGTAATAGTACAGAAGCAAATCCAGGGACTTCATGCCCAGCCCGGCTGGATAAGCATCTGTTAAGAATATAGGAAGGGGCCCTTTTTGGGTTACAGGGTCATGTCCGTCAGACCTGAGCACTGAAGGTTAGATTTGCCTCCTAGCAAAATGTATGATGATGGCCACTGATGTGTTACTTTATAAGGTAGAAATCTGATTGCTTTTTAGCAGTGGAAGCAATCATGACTGTATATGCAAAATGAGAAGCATGTAATGTGAGATGTAGAAAGGTTAGCAAGTCTAAAATATCAGTAAAGGAAACTGATGTGCAGACTAAAAATGGTTGATCCTTCACAAAGAATTAGGGTTGATACCAGCCCCAGCTCCCTTGTTACAGATGCTCAGTAAAAAAGCTCATGCATAAACTACTTTGTGAATTTATTCACTTTGTGAATTACATTCAGAATAACCTTACATAAGCTGTGGGCTTGAGAGTTTGGACTGACCTCCCTCTGGAAGGAAGAGGTAAAGTTCTCAGCTCTCCCCAAAAGATAACTGGGCTTTTGCAGAGTACTTCGCAATAGAAACAGTGAACAAATCTTCTGCTAATTTTGGAGACACAGGACACTGAAAGGCTATGGAAATCAACTGGACAAATA